CTCCTCAACTCCAGTATCGCGAGGTTCACGACTTTCACGACGCGCGGCAGCGTGGACCGGAACTCAAAGCTGCAGCGTCTCCAGCTCCACAAGAGGGACATGTCGAACAGCAGAGTCTGTAGACTCCCACGCATCTGCTTGGCTTCTGGCTCAGAACAACTGACTCAATTCCTTGTGCTGCAATCGCTCAGTAGTATCTAACCTAACAATTTTCCAACAATCGCAGGCGCGATACGGTAACGTCATCGCATTGTCTGGTTGTTGCAGAGCGATCGCTATTGAGAGTATATGACGAAGGGGTGTTTGCTAGGCAAGAATCGCACCTTTCTTTCAAAGAGGGCCCGGTTGTGCAAGTCCTTGTATATGTAACGCCAAAGCCTCGTATGCCCTCACCTTCCATGCAAACAGGCACTGCTACTCTCCTGAGTCGTGAAACCACCACCAAGTTCGGATGCTGGGCTGTCAGATGATCTTTCTCTCTGGGGATCTCGAATGTCAGTCACTGCACGGTCGGCCACGCAAATAGCAAGCCACTCAGTTGTGCCGCATACAGAGCTTGAACACAATCAGCGACGACGCACAAAAGCAGCAGTGTCTATGCAAGTACCTTTGTCAGCGAATCCAGCGGCTTTAGTATCTCGGGTTCACCGTGCTTGTGACTATACGGGCAATCATGGCCTGCGCGCAGTATTTCTTCTTCCACCTTTAGTCCCATATCCTTTGTCTTCGAGCGTGAACGGAGCAGCTTCCCCAGGATCGCTAATGGTATAGCTGGATTCACACACCGGCATCCCCTGCTCCCATCGCTCGATCGAGTTGCTAGGCTCGCTCAATAACATCAATGGCTCTGACTGCTCCGCTATGCTGCTGGATTCGGCTGTTGGCATTGATTGCTCAGCCAACCATCGCTGAATGCCTCCAGCGGGAACATCCACTTCATTAAGATGGAAGTTCTCAAGAGTGGTTTCCACTGCCATGGTGGAGTAACCTGAGGACGGAGTCGACGATGGCTCAGGTTCTTCGCTTGATTGAGATTGGGGCGGAATCCGCGCATTGATATCGTAACCTTTGCTGAGGCATATGCTGCGCAGTTTTGCAGCAGCTGTTTTAGTCTCGTTGTACTTATCAAGTATCGATTGACTTTGCTCTGGGTATCGACGAATAAACTCTTCATCAGACGTTTCGAGCGCTCCATCCTGGTCAGCCAACAGGTCGTGCTTAATTGACTTCTCGCAGTACTTTTTGTGCAGTTTCGCGCGCTGACTCTGTAACAACTTCATGTCCCCGACTTTGTCATAGAATAGCTCTAGTTCTTCAGGTAGTTCCGTAGAAGCGTTGCTTGTTGCTGATGTGTCATCTCGCACAGGAAGCTGAGGATTGCTCTGTACGCTGTTGTAGCCGTTCAGTACAGCGACTGCATCCTGACAGGCGATGACAAAATCCGTGTCTGCACGAGACAATCTATCTTGGAGTTTCCCCAGCATTACTTTCCAGCCCCTGGTTTGCTTTGCTTGTGCCTCCAGTGTCATCCGGCTGTTCTGTACGAATTTCTCAAGTTCCAGGAAGGCCGCATGACTCGGGTCAAAGCGAGAAACCACGGAACCCAGCGACGTCATCCTGGTGTAAATTGAATCCAAAAGACCGACCTGGTTCTGGTAACATCTTTCCCACTCGTCGTCGAGCAAGTTTCGGCGCATCTGAACTTCTTCGCGCAATTGAGAGAGTCCTTTCTCCTTCTGCTGCAACTGTCTATAACACGCAGCGGAATCAAGGACAGACTGGTTGATGTAGGCGCCCGAAGGCAATGACCGTAAGTGGTCGTCTGCTTGGTTCAACGTCTCGATATTGGGCAAGGCTGCAAGCTCTTGTTCTAGATGCAGAGGAGTCTTGATAACAGAATCGTTCCTGGAAGCCCGACGCGAACGCGCTCCAGCGGTCTTTCCCGCAGCATCCCTATTGGAATGCGTGGACCGATTCTGTGGCATCGAATATATATGTCACTGCTTTTGAGACATGAGCACACTTGTCGTGTCCGCAATCTCGAGGAGTTTACCTGAATAAACGGGTCATTGGTGTCCTTTCGTTAAACGAAACACGTAGCGATATTCCAAGCTAATAGGGCATGCTGAACAGAAGTACGGGAAAACGATGACCAAGGAAGCTCCTCAGACTGTGTTGCTGTGACACGTCCATACAAAAGCGTGACGCCTCAGACAGCCAAAAGGGGAACCTTGGTATCGATTGTTGGATCGAGCCCAATTCTTCGGCAAGGGGTGATCGGTAGGCGCGTGCCGGCCGCATTGAGGTGTGAGTAGGTGTGGGTAGCTTGGGAGCTTGCTTGCTCAGACCAATCAAATCGGGCTGCAGAGCTCACAACACCGCGTCTTGCTTGGCAGCGGGAAACTGCAGACTGCTGAACGTGAACCAAACGATATCGAACACGTCTCTACCTGAGCAGGCGAGATGCTGTAGGCCGTATGCCTATCAGCACGTTTGAAATCTATGTTTCTTGACTAAATTCCTCACCTGACGTTCCCGTCAGCGCATCCTATCCAGGTGTACGAGGGGCTCCAACTATAATCGTTTTGACACAGCCTTTACCATCATGGATATTCGCTCGACGCAAGACAAAGAGACCGGCAAATACTATCACTACTCTCCTGAAGAGGGCTGCTACATCTTTCAAGATGGACGACAAGTCCCGTGTCAACAACAGTCAACGAAGTCTGCAGCAGGCATGCACGCAGCAAGGAGATTACATACTCAAAGAAGCAGGTAATCAATGTCTCGTCGTCGAATGTTACGGTCACACTCATCTTCCGAAGTCATCCAGCAGGTCCGCCTTTGCAGCAGAGCGTTGCCTTTCCAGCTATCTCGAAAGGTGTCGCATTTACTCCCCAACTGCTGCCCAAGACCGACGACTCATTTTCGGCTTATGTTGCTTACACAGGTGCGAATCAGCTCCCGCCCACAGACAAGGCCGGGTCCGGAAACTAACCAATGGTGGACAGGACCCACCCAGCAACCAAGACTTACCACAGTCGGTAATGCCGGCGAAGGTTTAACGTATTTAAGAGGCTCCGCGCCCGTTTGGTTGGGACAACAGCAAGCACACATCTCGCCTGCTGTTGCTCAGATACGGGAAACCACAGGTCCTCCTGAGTATATCACCGATCCAGCACTGCTGCGGCCAGAGCTCAAAGCCCACAGACTGTTACACACAGCTGGTCAGCAATCTGAGCAGCTCGACTCTCGTAAGCCCCTTGCAACACCGTTCCGTCGTTCGAGGCTGAGTAACCAGGATTCAGAAGACAGCGGAATGCAGCGGAGTTTTTCAAGCGTTTCAGGGTAAGCCTCACTTGTTCTAGCTTATTGTGTGCTCACCTCAGCAGGTTTTCCTTGTTCTGTGGACAGAGCCCGCTGGTGACGTCGGCAGCAATACGTCTGTGGTTACAGATATCCGTTTCGGAGAGAGTTCGTATTACAAAGTCAGAAGATTTGTAGTAATCCGTGAAGGCCAAGGCTATTGCACTTGCATGTAAGGCCTCTGTCTATCTTCTCTAGGTCTATGTTGACACAATTAGACCTATACTTACGTACGCAGAGCGCGGTGTTTCGAAACCAGGTGTCGTCAAATCAGAGCATGGTATCATCCACACTACCAGGTACGCACCAGCGCCAGGTCCTGGAGAGTCACCAAGGGCTGGAGAATCACCTATGTTGCCAGAAGCGATCAGAGTCAGAGCGGACGATCCGACCGATAAACTAAGCACAATGTCGCGTATTCACTACGGGAAGCTATACACCGTGGAACATAACCTCAAAGTACGCAACTTTGGTATAATACATCAAGACTCCCAGGGCACCCTCACACGCAATCTCAGAGCAGTCATGGTCAATATGTTTAGCCCACCCTCAACAGCAGGATCTTCGAGTGCTCCAACGATGATCAATGCTCAAGCCTCAGTCGCCTCTACTCGTTCACCGAACGAGCAACAGGTTCCGCTCGCGCAAAGTCCACCGAGAGCTATGGTGCTTCCAGGCCAAAATCAGCGGGGCAAGGCACCGGTATACGCCCAAACGACTCCCCAGGCCCAAGGACCTCAAATGATTACCCGCTCACCAACGCAGGGGTTTGCAATCACCAAATCAGCTTTCCAAGAATTGCAGCAACAGCCACAATTGTTTACTTCCGCTCCCGCTAGGACCTCTTATGTCGGTCGTCCCACACATACTTCATCCACTGCCAAACAAGTTCCTGCACAACCTCTTGCAGCTGGAGAAGCCGAGGAAAGTGAGGGAACCAATGATCCTGATGAGACGGATGAATCGGAGGAAGAAGATGAGTCTGACGAGACCGACGCGTCCAATGAGCCGGAGCAAGCCACGGCGACTTAACAAAGCTCGAGCAAGCAAGGCTCGGCAAAGAAGAGCTCAAGCAAGAAGAGCTCGACCAAGAAAGGGTCGAGCATATCGTTCTTTGGTTTCGGAGGTTTGGGTGAGAAAGGAAGCGGAAAGGAAAGGAACTGAAAGTAGGAAATCGAGTATGGACAGGTTTTACCAACCATGTTAGTTGACACGATCTTTTGCAAGTTTTACCAATCAAATACGGCGGATTGAGGACTGGCGCCCAAAGCCTCTTTGAACCCTTTACGATGGCGGCGAATCTGTTATCATTGGCTGATTACGTTCGCGGGCCGAATGATTATAACAGACTTGTTTTGCCTACGGATTGGTTTACCGAGGGTGGTTGTTTCCTACGAAACGACGTCGTGGTTTTTAACCCAAGAATGAACAGTTTGGTAACGATTTCGATTCTCTTTTGTACAAACAACTATCTTTGTGTACGTTGATGCTGTTTACTCTCAGCTTCAATTCGGTAGATGAAATCCTATCGTAACTCGGCACAAAAATTGGACGATGCAACGCTGTGCCCGGCCACCGAAATTATAGCAGGTTTGCAAGTGCACAATGGTTCTACGATGGCAAAAACAAGATGTTGACGAGGGTGGGACTCGAACCCACGCTCCGAAGAACTAGTAGATACCCTGGTAGAACCAGGTAGTTCGTACCTGAAACTAGCGCCATAACCACTCGGCCACCTCGCCTGTTACTGCGGAGTTGCTAAAATTTCTAATATGGGATAGTTTTGGCTTATCGTACGCATTACCGCACCAACTCTAGGCTCATCCAAATGAACAACACTGCAACTTTATGAACTGGGTTATGCGTAGGTATGAACATGGACAAGAAGTTTTCAGATGTCTCGCTGCATGCTCTCATGCGTCCGGAACACAAACAGGACACCTGAACCCGCCCCCTCCCTCCTCCGCGGCCTCTCTCCGCCCGAGGCCTTCAAGACACACACGATGACACACATGGCGACAGGCGAATACGATCAGCGCGAGTTTGCGCTTTCCCTCCAGCTCCTCCTCACTCCTGAATGTGCCCGTTGTGTCGTTGGCCTTGCCTTTGCCTCTTCCCGCCGCATCATCGTTGGGTATATTTGCCGCCGCTCGCTTCCGCTTATCCACTAGTCGCTCCTGCTCGGTCTTCGTCCACTCGTCCCATACGCTTTCACCCACGCCAGGGCCCCATGCACGCCGCTTACATTGTTCGCACACCTGCGTCCGGGGTCGCCATCCGCGCTGCCGGAGTTGACGTGCCTCGTCCACATCGCCGAAAACATCACGGCCCAGAAGCTGATTGGCAAGCGAGAGGACGCCGGACTCATAGTTGTAGGCTGAGAATATGTCGAGCAAAACTGCTCGTAGATCGGACAACGATGGTGCGGTAAGTGTAGCTCTCGTCAGGAACGCACGGAAGACACGCAGGAACGACTGGTGGTTCTGGATACGGGAGGGTGTCATGCGACGACCGGCTGAGGGGTCTTGCTCAGGCTTGCCATCGCTTGATGCAGTAGTTGCGAGAAGCGCCGTGAACGTCTGCTGAACTGTGCTGCGCAACCCGTTGTTGATCTTCTCTCCATCAATGGTTTCGACGTGCAGTGGCAGCTGAGCAATTTCGGAACCCGCTTCTTTGGCAACGGATACCACAGCGTCGAGGAGGTTCAGCCACAAGAACTCATCCAGATCCAAATCGTCTTCTTTGACATCCCACACAGCATTTGTTCGATGTCGAGGCCCCTCGTTCTTGATGAAGTCGCTGTTTGACCTTGACAAAGCCAAACACCAATCCTGCTATATTTGTCGATAGCCTCTGTGAGGTCCGTGGCTGCCTCTTCCGCATTGGCAGTATCTGGAGTCTCGGCTGCAGCTCTGAGTAAACTGCATATTGCGCTCTTCAATGTTTGCATGTGCTTAACCAACCGGTCCATGGCGTCCCGAGCCAGGCCATCCTGAGCTAGTAGCAACACAGCCGCATCGATGATACCGTTCTCTTCCATGGCGGGGATCACTTCATCAAGCCGCAAATCTCCGGACTTGAGTAGGCCAATATAGTCTGCAACATGCTTGGGATCATGAATGCACATAAGCTGGACATATTGCTCGCCAAACTTAGTGATCATCTCATCGGAAGCCGCACGAGCGGTCGGTGGTTCGCCATGGTAGTGAAGAAGTGACGGTTCAAGGAGCGTTCTGAGGAAGACAAAGCAAGCGTGGGAATCGGTCAGGGCATCAAAAACTGTTCTAAGATATCCGGCGCATATCTTGACAACGTCCGCACAGTCTCTGGCAGGTCAATGGCCGCCAGATCCTGGGCATGTTGACATAGGAGAGCCTTGATGTCTGGAGCCTGTCGTGATGTAACATCGTTGCGTAAGCACTGAACAACATCTTCGAAAATGGATGACTTGTCGTCCGGGTCAATGAAATAGGTCTGAAGCAGGTAGACACACTGGTGTTGGGAGCGGTACTGGGACTTCAAGACGCGGTAGAAGCGAGCGTCGTGCAACAGCTGTATTAATTCGGGAGTGACCGGTGGATGATAGACCGATAGTAGATATTCCACGCTCAGCTGGCAATCATTCGCAAGGTCCTCAGACGGGAACGTGCAGAGCCGATCTAATACCTGCTGGAGTGCTGATCCGGAAAGAATCATAAACTGCGGATACTTCGGAAGGCTCCTTGCGATGAACATGTCAAGATAAATTGTTTGCTCGGGCGCGAATTCTTCGTCGGACATGATATCCAACAAAATTCCGATGATATGTTGCCTTGTCATTGAAGAATTTCCACGTCTCGTTGTGCCGTTGAGCTGTGACGCTAGGCCGTCGAATTCATCTTCCTGCACGCCGTTAAGGAACGGATCTTCGAATGCCTCGTTCAGCATGCTCATAAAGCTAGCTGAGTCGTACTGCAGCAGCAGCCGAAGATAGGGGAAGGGTGGCTCATCTACACTCTCGGCCTCTGTTCGTACTTTGGATGTCGAGCCGGGTGGCCATGGTAAGATCTGATGCGAGAACAGGAATCTGTAGATGTCCGTCTTGACGCGGTCAGCATCTTGCTCGTCGATAGGCTCATCCTTCGGATACAATCGACCAGTCAAAGAGTAAGCCAGGTAGGCAAAGATCTTTCGTGCTGATTCTATGATGGATTCATCAGGGGTCTCCTCGTTGTATGCGGACATCTTGAGTTCTTTGACTAAAGCAAGAAGGTCCACCAGCGGTGTAACAAAGTCAAGGAGTGCTTCATTCCAGACAAAGATGAGCGCGTCGTAGAGATTGTGCTGTTTGCATAGTCTGGTAATCTGATCGATGTCGAAAGCTCGGGGATCCAGCCTGCAGAGGAGTTCCTCTAATCGGCTGCTCTGGCGCAGCTCCATGAATCGATCCACCAGGTCCTTCACGACTGGAGGCGGCAAAGCCGTGATCTCTCCCTCGAGTATGTCCGTTTCGAGTAGTTCGAGGATGACTGCTTGTTCGCCTGAGTCTTTGTATGCATCGTACACCTCATCGAAGAGGAACGACTGATCGTCTATGGTGATACAGGCTGCAAAACACGCGATTGCCAGATCTTTTAAGCGGTCAGGATCTCGCTGCGCGGCTTGGGAGAAGGTGTAGCGAAGAGATGCAGAGATGAGTTCCAAAAGTCTTCCTTGCACAAGTGCATGGCGTGCAGCATCATCTTCCGGTAGGCCGACCGCCACACGCCCTACCTCGCCAACATAGTAGTTGATGGCAAGCCGGATGGCTGAGACGTCATCCCCATGCTCCACAAGTGCTGTGAGTCGATCCGCCCAATTAGACATTGTCCCTACCGCAACGTCGTTGAAGCCTAGCAGGAACAGCCGACCCTTGTACACCCGGAAGCTCATAAAGAAAGCGTCTGCCACCACACCATGCATGGCCGATTCGTTTTCTGTCTGCTCCACAACAACATGCAGCTGATCCGAGAATACGTTCTGGTGGTAAATATGCTTCTGTAGTAGGTCAACAGACTCCATGACATGGAGCGCACCGTCTTCCAGTATCACTAATCTCTGGCTGATTGTAAGCACACCAATGACGGATCTACTCAACCATTGTACCGCAACAATGGCCTCTTCACACTTCCAGCGCCTGCGAGGATGGAAGAAAAGATTCGGCAGCTTGTCTTTCTCGCTTTGACCATCTTGCGGCCGAGACTCTACTTCCAGAACGGTGAGGACGTTCGACCAGCAGTATACCAGCTTAGTTTCTGACACATCTTTTCCGGCAGTTGCCGTCTTTAACTTCACTGCCGGAAACCAAGCCAAGCAGCCACTTAAAGCACTGTGCGGAGTGATCTCCTTTGGTCTGGGGGACTTGTGTTGCGTCTGCGCGATAGGGGTAGTGGATACTATGACGAGGAGATACGGCGTCAACATGGCAGTTAATCCCATAGTATCTGTAGGTTGTTCCACGTTTCCTAGCGGGAGCGATGCAAATGCGAGCACCGAGCTTGGTTTACGATTGGCAACATCTTGAGGCCCAGCAGTTGGGTAGCGGCCAAGCAGCCGAGTAGTCTTCACCGTCCTAGAAACAGCACCCAACCCGCGCGTAGCAAGATGTGAGAACGCCATACCTCCATCATCTGCAGAGACGAGTGCAGTATGCCTGGTGCCCAAGAAGCCCACATGCAAGATGGCGCGACCGGGAACATGTCCATCCGGAACCTGCCTTGACTGGCCGGGCCTACTGACCGGAGGAATTTGAAGAAATGGCTTCGCAGGACGTGAAAGCTCCCAGGTAAATATGGATCCATTGCCGTGACCGCCAGCTACGGTAGAGTAATCCGCTGCTATGGCTAGAGACGTGACAGCGCCTGCTTCAACCGCCTTTGTACCTTGACCGATAATACTCTTTAGTGTCTGGTGATAATCAAACACTAGAATCAATCCTTTCGACGTCCCTATGACGATTGAGGCGGAGACGGCCAGGCAAGTAGGATGTCCGAAGTTACGTTTTCCGGCTTCTGAAAATGCCTGACTGGTTATCTTCTTCAGTCGAGTCCACCTCACGACTTCCCACGGAGCCTGTGGAGTTCCTGGCAGATCACCGTCTTGCGACAATAGTTGAGAAGAAACAGAAGATTGGCGCGAATGCGGGCTCAGGAACGCCGGAGATTGAGCACGTGGCAATGAAGAATCTGAGAACCTTGACGAGAATCGCCGTTCAAACGGCTGTAGAGCTCCAGATGGACTGCGAAAATAACTCGACCGAGGGCTTAGTGAACTCCTTATAGGTGTACCGACCGGTGTCCCCTGCACAGATGGTGTATCGTCCGGAATTGATCCCGAATCCGTAGGGCTAGCAAGAGGTGCAGGGGAGACTGCTGGCTCAAGGACAATATCTGGTATATCGTCTGCCGTGGACTCCACACTCTCACTGTGTACAGACTCGCTGTAGGACAATCCTTCCTCGTCCCCAGCGGGCTCCTCTTCGTCTGGGTGCGCATAGTCCCCGAAGCCATGTTCTAAAGACTCTCTAGAACCCACTTCTTCCTCCTGTGTGTTGACCGGTATTCTTTCCTTTGTATCTTTTGACGCTTCATCCGCCTCTATATCTTGGTTTTGACCCCCGCATCGCTGCCTCCAGCTGTAGAGCTCATCGACCTTGCTGATGGGTCCGCATCGCCCGGCCTTCGTTCCAGTATCGCGCCTTGAGGTCCTCCCTAGCAACTGACGC